GCGGCGGGACCAATAGATCTGGTGTTTGTGTGCGTCGGGGCTGGTGGCTTTGGTAGTCAGGGCCGACTTTGGTGCGATTGAGTGTGTATGTGTGTGTAGAGTGTGTGAGTTATGTGCGTGTGTGTCGACCGTGTGTGTGTGTGAGCAGAAGAGTGTGTGATATGTGCGTGCGTGTGAGAGGGTGAATGTTTGGTGGGTGGGATGGGGCCATGTGGGTGGATGAGTGGGTGAGCAAAAATGATGACATTGCCCTTAACGAGTGATCAATTATAAACATTTGATCATATCACCACTTATTTACCATATTGTCACCACTCGTTTGACTATCACATTAAAATTTGACTTGATAATGGTCATTGTCTAGATGAATTCAATTATATAGATTTTTTATTATTATTACACCTCATTCTAATTTGAATCAACCTCTACACATATATATATATATATATATATATATATATATATTAATTTTTAAAATTAATTATCTTATACTGTAATTGACCTTGTGACATGGCTGTTGAACTAATGACCGAGCAGTTGAACCAATGACCGGGCGACCCGAAAGCTAATCGCGCCACTTGCCACGACAGGTTTCAAAACATAGGCCTTGTGTCATATTTTCTTAAAAATTAACACAAATATGCAGCTTATAAACCCGATTGCATAAACCATGGCATGCAAACCAAACATAAGTGCATCAAGATCACATGCTACTTTCATCACAATTTATAGTTTTTTCACCACTTGTTTGACTATCACATTAAAATTTGACTTGATAATGGTCATTGTCTAGATGAATTCAATTATATAGATTTTTTTTATTATTACACCTCATTCTAATTTGAATTTTAAAATTAATTATCTTATACTGTAATTGACCTGGCTGTTGAACTAATGACCGAGCAGTTGAACCAATGACCGGGCGACCCAAAAGCTAATCGCACCACTTTTCACGACAGGTTTCAAAACATAGGCCTCGTGTCATATTTTCTTAAAAATTAACACAAGTATGCAGCTTATAAACCCGATTGCATAACCCATTGCATGCAAACCAAACATAAGTGCATCAAGATCACATGCTACTTTCATCACAATTTATAGTTTTTTCACCACCAGTGAGTAACTGGTCATCCTCCCAATTGCACAATCCACTTGACATGCGAATGGATCAAGTGAAAATATCTATATTTTACTGCTCCATGTCTACAAACACTTTCCAGGGATGTTACCTCGTATGCTGTCCAAAAAATAGTACACCTCCTACTCTAATATGTAAGGACTATAAAAATAGCCGCTTCCGGATGGCAAAAAAGGCAGTACTGAATCATTTGAAAACCCAAACAATGATATCAACTCTGATATCAACAATCAACGGCGTGAAGATTTCAAAGAAGGAACTTTCTTCTACATGTTAGTCACGAGTCAATCCTTGTATATTCATGTCACAAACTTTCATCTGCCTCAGCGAAGCTTCAATTTCTTTTCCTTGTTCCTATAGATAAGGGTGGGAAAATGACACGAATGATACGAAGAATAAACGACACAATTAGGCTTTACGTGGAGTACAACACAAGCGCAAAACAGTAATAATTAGTCACTTCAACAATTATATTAAAAAGCAGATAGAAAACCACACACAGAGAGAGAAAAGAAAAACATGAGTGCCACACTGGTAGTAGTGACATTATAGAAGGTACAATGTTACCCAAAGACATTCTTAGGAAAAAAAAAAAAAATCACCTCATGCAAGGCTCCCCACCACAGCTTTGATTTTTCATGAAGAAGACACCATTGCAATGCCAGTAAATGCTCGATTGTATTAGACTGAGAGAAGTGAGACGTTGCCACTGCATTCCTCTTCAAAAGGAAACAACTAATTACGAAATATTGCAAAGCCTAACACTATATGAGTAAGAATAAATGGTATAAGTAGCAAGGATTACTATGGCTTCACGTTGTCTCCGATGTCTGGCCCTGTCAACGGTAAGATGACCATAAAATTCACCTGAAAGGCCAGCCTTGCTGAGGAGCCTTCTTCGGCCGACAATTGGCCTGTGCAGAGAAATCAGATAAAAGTCATTATGAATAATTTCAATTAATGGAAATAAACAACTCACAAGACCCCCAGTACAATTAGGTACATTTTTTTTATCGGTGGATATCGTTTCAAGATACTTTCAAGCCACATCAGCAGTCAGCAAGGACATCTGCCCCTCAGCAAGGATATCTGTTTATATGTTATGCATATTCAGGGATCGACACGCGGTGCATTGGTTTGAATACACTCCTTTTCTTTTTTTACAAACATATAATGAAAAAAGAGAGATAATCATGCCAACAATTGAAGTTATAATCATATGTGGCCTTGAAATAGTGATGACCACAATTCATACCTTTAGTTTACGGGTTTTAAAAAGATCTTCATCCTCTCCTCCATGACCATTAAAAAGAAGAATAAACATCTTTGTATGCTTTTTTAATAATAACTCATAGTCATATGTACCAATTGAAGATGAACTACACAGAAGGTATCTAAGAAATTTCTTGATTAATATTTATTTAACTAATAATTTTATTTTTTTTGAAAATTATCTTCCATTTTTATTTGTTATTTTGCAATATAATTATTGCAGAGAACTTTCATGAATCACGTCTATGCAAGTTATGTTATTCATACAGCTATGAACATATAGGCATAATATGCAAGACTGACATCAAAAGCTACAATGACAAGTATTGCTCGAGTTTATAGGTAAAAACATATCTTTTTGTTCCTTTATCTACTATCTATCTACTACTATCCTAAAAGAGTGAATATTTCTGTAAGAATATTTGTTGTCTATACTACTCTTTTAAGGGTAGTCTAAATTCTTAGTTACATTGTCTACTATCTATCTGCTATCTACTATCTACTATTTACAATACTTATTACTATTACTATTACTTTCACTGTTACTATTACTACTATCCTAATCCTAATCCTAAAAGAGGGAATATTTCTGTAAAAATATTCGTTCTCCATACTACCCTTTTAAGGGTAGACTAAATTCTTGGTTGCATTGGTTAAATAGTCATTATGAGTTGGCTAGTAATTAATGGTTATAATTGTATGGAATATCAAACAATCACTCAAAGCTTTGTTTTAAACATTCCTCAAACCATTTGCAACAAAAAGTAGGAGTTTATCATCATTTTTCACTATGACCTTCACCTGAAACCATATCTGACACTCAAACATCAAATTTGATTTATTGTTCTAAAGTTGAGACTTGAGAGACAATTTTCTTTTCAATTTACTGCATATTATTTACAACTTCAATTTAGATTAATTAAAAGGATAACACACAAACATTAATTCGGTTAGATTTCTTTGGAAATATCATTTTTAGTCTTTGTTTTTTGGTCACTTTTAATATTTTAACTTATATTTTTTTCTTTATCTTTCACTTTAAATTATAATAAATTTAATTTACATATATTTTAACTAAAAAAATTCAAAAATCAACTAATTTCAGAAAACACATTTTTTTTACACCACTAATAGTATCAGCTGTGTATTACCCTGTTGGGGTTTATGTGTTGTCTGTTAGTAATTTTTTGTGTTTTTCACTTATTACCCCGTTGGGGTCGGTTCTAGGCAGTCTTCTGACCTGTCCTCCCTATTTTTAGCTGTTGGTTGTTTCTATTCAGCTGTTAGCTGCTTTGTATTCAGCCGGTGGCTGCTTTTTTGCACATTTGTGCTAGTTATATAATAGTTCTATCGTTCCGAAAAAAAAAAAAAAATAGTTAATCATAGGCATAATGATATTTCATATACTCATTCGTTACTGAAGTTAATCATAGGCATAATGATGCTCCACATATCTAAATACAGGAAACATACAAAAGGAAGAAAAACAATAGAATTTGGAAAGATGAGGTCAGTTGAGGTGGTTAGCCGATCACAAGAGAAATTACCTTCCATCACCCAGCATAAGACTTCCATTGGCTAACCGAGAGAGGACATCATCTGCTTCTTCTTTTGTCTTTAAAATTACAAATGCTTGACCTATCAACCTTATTAGTAAAAGAAAAATGGAGACAACCAATGGCATATAAATGCATAAAAATGAAGGGCTATACCATAGTGGGGATTGGAAAATGTGGTCGGTTGTACCATCTTGGCCTTAATTTTTTTCTCAAAGGCATACCAAATGATATCCTGATTGAAATAAACATAGTCAACAAGGCTCATTGAGCTAGATAACCCGAGGCAGCATATCATCAATGGTAGTTGGTACTGCAACTGCATCTGATAATCTACATAATTCCCTCTAGAAAAGATTCAAATAAATGAAAAATTCGGAAAATTTGAGATCAGCAATTCTGACTGAGTACCTCCACTTCTGCAGATGTGAATGTTGGGTCAAGGTTTTCTAACAAGATCAGGGTACCCTTTTCATTCATTTCACATAACCTTTCCTCATTCCAAACCTGGAATATAACAAGAGAAGGATAACATACATTCACAATCAATCGATAAGAACAAGAGTTATCCCTTCTTAGTGGGTACAAATTCTGATGCTTTGGTTATTGATTTCTATTGTCAAATTAATTCGATTTGCAAAAATAATTTAGTGATACTATCTCTTACAGCATTTACTGGAAATTGAAAATTCATCTAATTTCCCCGTTAGTGAAAAGTTTTTAGAAGGCATTAAGCTCACCTCCAGCTTCAACCATTTACTTGAATCCTGCAGGCAACAAATACGAATATCAGGCAACAAATATCTAAGACAACTCCAATAAAACATACACAAGTACTGACATGGCAAGATTTTTCTATGTCTAAAAATTATCTGTTGCACTAAAGAATTCATTCAATGAAGAATCCATAGTATAGCAGAGCATAAAAGACAAAGGGTAGAAGGAAATTAATTCTTTACATATGATGTTTAATATCAAAAAATGATCTTCTTCCTAAAGCTGAATATAACAACTCCTTCTAACCACAAAAACTTAATTCCTGTGAAGAAAATAAACAAATATGCCCTGTACTTACCATACCAGGCTTTCTGGCAACTTCGATGTACTTGTAATTGATTGCTGGGTTTATATGCTGTATATTACCAACTCCTTTCTCAGCAGACTTTCTTTCTTTGTCGTCCGAAATAACTCCAGTAAACACATTTTTCCTCATGCCAGAGTCATTGGCACTCAAATGTTTCTCATGTCCAACATCTCTGGATGGAGGAAAAGCATGTGCAGCATATCTTGGACCTTCAGCTACAAGCAGCACGGTTTTGGCATCAATTAATCCAAGGCCAAGCTTAGCTCAGAGGAGCATTGAAAGGTACCTAGAGGGGCTGGAAGCTTCCTTTTCTTCAATGGACCACCATATGTACTCGCAGGCAGGACTGTTTCAGAATTCTTTACTGTAGTTGTAGCATAAGGCCACTTTTTTGTAGAATTTATTATATGTCCACTAGCTGCAATATCTGGAGCACTGTTTCCTGCATGCAACTCAATTTACTTGAGATCCTTACACCTACAGAAACTAAATACTAAGAGAAAAACACACATTAATATCTGCAAACAATTATCTATATATTTCCACATAACTGGACAGTTTAGATGAACCAAAGCCAGCCAGTTTAACCTTAAAGAGTTGAAAAGAAATTGACTTTGCCAGCTGAAAATATATTTGTAAATCCATCTCAAAGAAATCATCTTAAACATGCCGATATCATAAAAAAGCACTCTGTACACTTTATCAATTATAAAAGAGTACACAAAGGATAAAACTTATAATCAGCCTATCCTAACTTGGTCATGGCAAAGAATACTCCCTCTATGCTGCTGTGTTGTAATTCCAGCCTGTTACTTTGTTACCCTTTACGTCAGGTATTCCTTCATTTATAAAATAATTTATCCAGAATTCTTCATAGAAAGCCGTTATTTACTCTCTACTCTCTCTTCCCTTTCAGCATGAGTAGCAAGAGTAAGGTAACAATGTCATGCAAAGGATGTTTTGAGTTTGATAAGAGAGAATGCTTTATGTAATATTGAATAGCATATGTAATTATTTTGTGCAATTGTTTAGAAAAATCAATAAATTTAATAATTATATAACCCATCTAATAACATTGCCTCGCTCATATATTTAAACTATACCATCTAGAAGAGAAGATTTCTAATACAATATTAGAACATTTCCTGTCAAAGTAAGACAATCCACGTTGACATTTTATCTGCACTTTCACCAAATTTATGCACATGGTTACACCATATCATACAAAATATTTGCTGGTGGATATAAATATGAACTACTGCTTTAGCAATAACCTCGCAAGCTAATGCCCCAGAAATGATTAATGACCACAATTATAAGGACCATTTTGTTATCTGCACTATCATTTATAAGCTCACACTTTTGATCAAAAAGCATCAAGTGTTTCTTTCAGAACTTGGTCAGAACCAAAGCTTATTGAGCATTACAGTAGGCAAGGAAGGATTACTTACTGTATGCAACTTTTTCTAGTCTTGCAGACTGATTAATCTTCACAGCTCTGACCGATACTTCACCTTTGACAGTCAAACATGCTTTGGGATCAGCAAATAGACTAGGTTTTGTATCTTTCTTCATGTTAAAGAACCGATCCACTGCATAGAGGTTATTTAATTGGATAATTAGACCATCTGAAAACATGAGGTAGAATAGGGAGATATTGAAACGAGCCAGTGATAAATGACAAAGAACATTTACTCTAATGAAACCAAATAACTAAGACGTACAGTGCTAGAGCCAGAAAACTACATGAAAAGGATATAGTAGAATAATGTTGTTGCATTGGAGTTTTGGATTCAACTTCAATGTGTCAAAATACAATTAGTTCTGAGCATTAACATTTCATGCGCAACATCCAAAAACATTCAGTGCATTCACCTTACTCTACTATTAAATTAACAAATGCAAACGAGTACGATCCAGTGTCTAAGATAAGACGTGGGGCTTCCAGGAAAATGATGACTAGCAAAACCATGAATCGCTATATATCATATGTTTTTACAGTAGAGTATATGAAAGATTAAGATTCTTGTGAAATTGTGAACTTAAAAATGCAGATGGTTCATAGATTCAAATGTATCGTGTGTTTCTTCATAAACTGTTATGTCAAGACAATGAGTTCCGCAAAAAAACTAAAAAGGTCCTACCCTACGGCAAAATATTAAGGTATAATGACTTTGGAAACACATAACCTACGTAACACCTTTTCAGACCTGCAAGCTTCAAAGCTTAAACAGATGCAGGAATAGAATTACAACCAAAATTCAAGCATTGTCAGGCATGATATAAGATCTCAGTTTCCCGAGAAAATACACTTAAAAAGGTCTTATTTTCAGTTTACTGCATGTGAAGAAGTATGTTATTCATCATTGGAAAAAATGTAGTTGAAGGAAATCTGCACTTCTTAATACATCTATTGTATGAATGGATCAGAAAGAGTAATTCCCAAATTAAGAGGCATATAATTTCATGAAAAAACATAAGGTCTAAGAAAGGAAACTAGAGAATAAGGATCATAAAAGCGTAGGCCTTTTGTCATGGAAACTCATTAAAAACATCTAATTTTCAGCGTAGGAATTCCTGAGTAGTTGCTCTACAATAAGGTCATGCTTCCTTTTGCATAGCTACAGATAAAGTTCCATATGAGAGAGAGAGAGAGAGAGAGAGAGAGAGAGAGAGAGATTACACAAATAACCTTTGATTCCACTTATCAAACTTGGAAATTTCTCAGATATTACGCACTTTCCAACATCAAAAGTGCGATAAAATATATAATCAGCCATTCTTAACTCTTGATCGGTTGGCTGAGGATTTCGTTTGTGCTTAGATGTACACAATATGTTGCACTTTCCACAAATTGCTTCCTGATGATCAATGAGAAAAGAATAAACATCAGAATCATTTAAAGAGAGTGTGGACTGTATGAAAAGATCAACATCAAGTTTGTAAAAATGAGTCATCAACATCTGCCTTCTGAGTGTTCTAAATACAGTCTTAAGAGTAGGAAGCTTTTGACTAATTAAAATAACAAAATAGTTACTTAGTGAACTTCTCTGAGAAATAATTCTGTAGTGAGGTTGCTGAAATTAGTGTCTATGTTTCAAAGTTGTTAATATCCCTTAATATTTGTAGGGTATTAATAGTTGAAAAAATGCAAACTTCAAGGAGGTGATTCTAATACCAACAGGAAGCAGTTAAAATTTTGAAAGATAATGATTTTCTTCTAGATGAATAGAGTAGTTTCTGAAATCATTCCTCAGATATACAATGATGTGCCGTTACCGTAGAAAATCTGAAAAACTTCTTATTTTAAAACCAAGTTACCAATGGGGAAAGGTTGGAAAGGCCTTTGCCATGACCAGAAGCTAAGAAAAGTTCTCTCTGAAGAGGCTTGACCTCTCCCAACCAACTAGCTATCTCAGTGGGACGAAAAAACCACACGACTTCGACTTTCTTCTCAGAGTTTTCGGTCTCCCATATATTTACAAGCTTACCAATGTCAGGTTCAGCTTGACCATCACGATGCATATACACACAATCATATAGGGTGTATTTAATACCATCAAGCGTGAATGACTCATAGAAAGTGTGGACACCCTTTACAATGCCCCAAAAAAATTGAATATCCTCATTTCCTTTTGACTCTTCTACTGATTTTTCTTCTTGTTTCTGAGGTTGGGACATAGCATACGTCTCCTTTATATAAAAGGATTTGCCAGAAATCTTCGAAAACCTGAACCGGAATGAAATACATTTTTAAAAAATTAACGGTGATCATGACTTCAAATCTCTTAAGGAAATTAATGTAAACCTACAGATAGTGAATGCATAGATTTAATGAAATATCATGTTTAAAACCCACCATTAGAAAAACACGTAAATAAAAATTCCCACGAGTTTGAGACAAACCAACATATATTAGAAGAAACAGATAAACGTACATTATCTACCACAATGTTAGCCTGAACCATAAGTGGAAATAATACAATCGTTTAAAATTATGAGGCCATTACCTAAGTTGTAAGTAGTGAAGGCTGCATAGAAAACAATCAAATTAAAAGGAACTCAATAATAGTCAACTCTTCCTGGAAAGAGTTTTTATGCACCACGGGAATGGATTGCTTAATAGTATGTCGTATAATGAAACTATTGATTACTCTTTCCTGTGTAGAAAAACAACAGAATCATAACATTTCCGTCACAACATTTGTCAATTTTTTTATAAACGGGGCATCAAGGGTGCGGTCCCACAAGTGATATTCCAACAACCTTGCACAACCAGTGCTATATTTTTACTTCAATAAATACTAATCGGAAGCCCACTCACATAAACACCGTTTTCAATTATTTTTGACATGGACAATTGTTCATCCGTGCAACCTTGCAATTCATTCCAAATATGAAAAATATCGCCATTATTCATCAGTATGTGCAAAACATGAATAAATGACAAAATAAGGTGCAGACATGGACAGGAAGGTGGGGGGCTTATATCTTAAACAAAATAGAGGGGAAACCATACGTAAACGCCATAAACCACCCAGGCTCCCTAACCCTTGAAAAATAAATGAAACACTTCATTAATGGCTAAGCAGTGGGGAAAAAGCATAGCGTATGCTGCTAACATCCTGCCTATATGGCCTGGAAACACACACACACACACACACACACACACACACACACACACACAGAGAGGTCATGATTAATGAATGAAATCGAAGAAAACATAGTCTATTGCCTTACTCTGCTTGGTTATCACCGTAATCGTTGATACTCAGAGCCAAATAACAAAACATTGCAAATATTTTACACTATGAACCCTCGAAGAGCAAGCAGGAAAAAAGGCATAAGCTCAAGCCGAAAGCGTATAAAAACTTAATACCCACCTTGATAGGGAGAAATCTCACCCAGTAGACGCTTGGTGTGGGTGCGCAGGTGACAAAAAGCTACAGAGGGAACAAATTTACAATTGCCTTCAAAATGCCACTCCTTGTGAAGAAGGAGAGAGAGAGAGAGAGAGAGAGAGAGAGAGAGAATGGATAGACACTTTTCAATAGCAGAGAACGGAAAAAAGACTGAAAAGGAGACGACGAAAGACGAGTATGAATTTCTCCAAAAATGGCAATTAAGGGTAGGCAACGCGCGGGTGCGTAGAGAGACTAGGGCGGGCGGGTGCTAACATGTACCGGTGGCGCAAAATAGAGAACTGGGTTGTACAGCTAGCCAGGCCAGATGATTTGATCATTTGAAGAGACGCCATGCAGTATAAGCGCGGCACTGCAAACATTACTTTGTGAAATATCTCCAACGCGCTTCAGTTGCGCGTAGACCCATTTTTCCTTAGACTAGGAGGGTCATTTTCCTTTGATTTTAAAAGTGAATTGCTATTTACCGCCCCTATTATTATTTATGGCCCTTTTTTTACGAAAATACCCTCAACTTAAATCTCTCTATTCTCTCTCTACTCTCTCTATCTCTCAAAAACCAAAACTTCAACGAATCATTCGAGCTTCAAAAAAAATCTGAAAAAATGTCAAAAAAATCATACGGCATCGGCAAAGCATTGTTCTCTAGCAAGGTATTTTTTTTGTACAATTTACATATATTTAAAAAACGAAATTATGTTGCCTCGTCCGGTTGGCGCACCCGGACGCGGCTCGGGCCGTACGGTCGGTGATCCCGTACGGCCCGC